TTTTCTTATGATCCTTATGTACATTTCTAATGTTATAAGTAATTGACAGTTATGACTTCTCGAAACTTTATAATCCTACCAATAAAATGTTAATGAAAAAAAAAAAAGTACAATACTGCATAGGGGGACTTCCAGTTTCGCTGACTCGCAGAGCGAGTGCGCTCCATCACAGCTCTGATGTGTTCACCCCGCAAACGTGTCGATGGGGGTGGTGGTCAGAGTTGATCTTGGACCCCACAGACCCCTTGTAGGGGGGTCTCAGCCTGGGACGCGAGAGGTGCCTCCTCCAAGGTGGAAGCCAAAGGATTGAGGCACCTTTTTGCTCCGATAGGCCCCCGCAGCATGGAGCCAGTATGGCACCAAGAGGCGCACACCGGACAAAGCGTATAAGGATCCCGAGAAACTATTCTCTCTATATACCAAGTGAACGCAAGTACAAACGTGAGTGAAGCCATGATCCAGCAAACAATCAATAAATTGTTACTAGTAAAGCCGCCCCAAAGCCCCAAACAAGCGGAATTGGGAGGGGAATGCCCGATCTGAAAGGACTGAATTTAAAGTGGAAAGCTGAAAGGGATGCTCGAAGGAAGCAGAATGCAATGAAGTGTGCAGCGGACTAGCAAGAAAGCGATAAACTCCAGACTTATGAAGAACTTTTAAACTTTCCTCTTGTATAAACAATGATGCAGCGAGCGGAAAAAACGGTGTTGAAAGCGAAACTTATAATACGAACTGCCAGCAAAAAGTTAAAGGCCAGGACCTCAAAGGTAGCTGTGATGGACTGCACTTTAAAAGCTCATAAGTGCTGTATAAACATGTAATGGAGTGTGAAGGGTTAATGCCTCACAGAGCCAGAGAGCCTTGCATGACAGGCTGCTCAAAGGAATCTGATTGGTTAGTGTCAGTTGAGCAGGAAGACTTGAGAACTGACTGCTGAAGAAAACTCAGTTTTAGTTTAGTCCTGACTGTGGAAAGTTTAGCTCTAACTGAGGAGAGTTAAGGTCTGACTGAAAGCAGTTTCATACTGACTGCAGACTGGGAATGGTGGCAAGTGGGAGTGGGTGGATCACTAATGACCCCCATTTGGGACAGGAAAAGGAATAGATTTTCTAGTTAGGGAAAAGATTCCCTGCCCAGTTGAAAGAGAGATAGCTGTAAAGAGTGGAGTGATCCTGATGAGCTGAAAGAAGAAATTTGAGTGCTTGGTAGTTATTCCTGCCTACTGAAACCTGAAGATTCAGTTAAACTCAAGAAAATATACTGGAGTGTTTAGGAAACACTGAAACAAAAGCTTTTCATCTCAAAGATTCTGTGTGAAATGTTTAAAAATTCTCAATTGCTGGAAACATATGAACTGTAGTTTTTGAAAATACTAAGTTACCTCAGAGTTCTTATTGATTTACCTCAGACATTTAACCCCTGATTTCACCTGTCCTTTTCCCCTCTAAGTTGAATAAAATATCTGGTTTATTTTTGAAGATGATAAAGCCTCTCATGTGCTATTTCTGAAGTTAAGAGGGTGATCTTGTCTCTTCCCTCAAATTCCTAAACTAAGCCAGCATAAAAATACAATAATATGACAGGGTGGGACAGTCATAGATCTTCAGGAAAGAAGAAAATAGATAAAGGGGCTGCTCAGTCAGAAAGGAAGAGAAAAACAGAGGAAAAATCCTGCACCTGAGGGAGGGAAGAGGGTGAAGTCGTCATAGTAACATTCTCAGAACTGCTGCTGGTTCCACACATACAGGGCCCCCTAGACAGGCATAGATTGGGGTCTCAATGTGTGGATAAGAAAGTGGTGCTGGGAGGAAGGGTTTAGATTTGTTAGGCACTGGAGAACTTTCTGGGACAAGCCAAACCTGTACAAAAGAGATGGGCTTCACTTGAACCAAAAGTCACGTTCTGATCACTGCATCTGAGAAAGGAGACTGAAAAGGTGCAGAATAGAGCAAACAAAATGATCAAGGGGCTAGAGCAGCTGCCTATGAGGATTGGTTAAAATGTTTAGAGCTGTTAACCTTAGAAAAAACTGCATAAGGGGAGACATGATAGAGGTTTATAAAACTATGCATAGCGTGGAGAGTGGACAGGGAAAAACTTTTCTCCCTCTTCCATAATACTAGAACCTGGGGTCATCCACTGATGCTGAAGGATGAGAGATTCAGGACAGACAAAAGGAAGTATTTCGTCACACAGTATATAGTTAATTTGTGGAACTCATTGCCATAGGACATAGTGATGGCCAACAACTTGGAAGGCTTTAAAAGGAGAGCGAACAAATTCATGGAGGACTGGACTGTCATGGCGTCTCTTATGTTCTTATGTAGAATGCCTCTTTAAATCTGTTGCTGGGAAGCACAGCCAGGATGATGCTGTACCAGTTTTCCTATCTGTGTGCTTCCTAGAGATATAAAGGCAGCCACTGCATAAAAACAAGCAGTAAAACATCACAGAACAGCATTCATTAGCCTAAAATAATACACATAAAACATGGTCAGCCTAGCAGCAGAACATAACATTACTTTGTTAAAAAATGGTATGGCAATCTCTCCCTCTTCCCTCCCTTACACTCAGGATTTTCTCTTTCTTCTTCTCTTTCTTTCTTGCTGAGCAGTTCCTATATCTATTGTCCTCTTATTAGCTCATCTACAGCTGTCCCACCCTGTCAAGTTATTATATATTTTGATGCTGGCCCAGCCCAGGGACTTGAGGGAAGAGACAAAATCACTTGCTTATATTCTACTTCTTTAATCACACACGAGAGGCTTTAGAAAGTTAAAAATAAACAAAATATTTTATTAACTTGGAGGGGGAAAGGTCAGGTGGAATCAGGGGTAGGATGAATGAGGTGAACAGTTGATAAAAACTGGGGTAAGTTTGTAATCACAGTAACTCCAGATAATTTGTTGCCCACAAGTAAGTGTTTCTGCTATCTAACAGGGTCTTTAAAATTTTGATGAGAGAGGCTTTCTCTTCCGCTTCTGCTTTAACACTCAAGCATAGGTTTCTGAGTTTCACTGATACTTCAAGTTTAGAAGGAAGGGACATACAACCCAGTTCCCAAAATCCCTTTTCATAGCCTAGGGATCACTCCTCTTTCACAAGCTATCTCCTTTTCATTGGGCACTTATCTAGAAGCAATTTCCCTTTTCAGCTTGAATGGGGATCTTTGTTGATCCACTCACTATTTCTGCCCCTTTCCCAGTCCACAATCAGGGCTAAACTGTCTCTCTTTCAACTGTCAGTTCCCAACTGTCATTTCTAAACTGACACACTCAACAAAATTCCGTTTGAACAACTTGTCACTTAAAGGTTCTCAGACTCTGTGAGGCATTAACCCTTGATAGTCCATCACACATGTGTAAAAAGAATTATGTTGGCCTGGCACCTAAAGGAA